ACTACTACTACTACTACTACTACTATCTGACAGAACCCCAAAAAACTGCGATTCTTTCCAGCAGAAGCGTGTAGGCTCCTCTTGCATACAAGGGGCAACCATGCCGAATTGGAAAAAGGACTTGCCACATCTTGCTTCATGAAGCTAGAACAAGTGACATCGAGTTCGGGCGCTTAACCCCCATCGAGTTCGGGGCACCGGACTTCACCCGACTCACTAAGTTCATGGCTTCGTGGATGGCACCCACCGGTGTTTTTAGCAGGCTGATCAGAAATAACTTTTCTCAGAAGGGAATCCTGCACCACCTAGACAAAGGTTGGATACATCAATACATCCCATGATGCACAAGGCTTCAGCATGTCTCAACCCAGGATGCCACTGGCATCACTGCCTTCCACCCTCGCCACGCCCACACCTCGGTCTCTGCGTCACACGGCGCTCACCCGGGTCGAGAGTTGCCGCTCCGTGCGTTGCAGCTGGCGCTGCAGCGCCGAGTGCCGCTGACGCCAGGTGCTCTCTGACCTGGGTCGGAGGTGTCGTGAGCCAAGGGGGGAACACTCAGAGTCAGCCCCCACCGGAGGGGCAAAGTCTTCAAGTCCTGGCACTTGAAAAGCCTTTCGGTTTATGGCTCTGGGTGAACGACTTTCCTCACAACTTGATCCCAATGGAAACCACCATGATTAGAAGCAGGTTGGTCCGGGAAAACGCAGGATTCTGTTCTCAATCTTAGACCTTTCATCGAAACTTCATGGGTACCATCTCGATGTACGGAATAACACATACGTCACGTCACCTTAAGATAGAGCTCCATTCAAACCTTTCTTACCCACACCCCAGTGCAGTAAGTGCTGAAGTCGAAAAATGGACGACGTCTTTTCTGTCCGGCCGTCTGGGAGCAGTGTAAAGAAACCGGCAGATCTCCACATCCAAACAGAGTGATTCGTTTGGTCCGATCCGATTCCCCGTGTTGCGACCATTCTCTCCGATTCCATCTGCCAAACAGGGTTCCGACCTGGTGCCCATGGGTGCCCTTCTGCATGTTCTTCTGAGAACGGAGAGAATGGGCCTCCAGAAATCGCGCAACTATTGGCTGAGCGGCTCCTCCAGCTGTCGGTAGGACTCTTCCAGCTTGGCCTCGGAGCTTCTCAAGGACTCCTGCGATCTGCGTGAGTTTCAGCCGCTGAAAGTGGCGTAAGACGTCCCCTGTCTTCATGGTGCTTTCATGTTGGTGTTGGGTTGTTGTCGAAAAAAAATTACGCTGCTGCATAAATGACATCGTTACACGTCCATGGGGACTGGTTGTTGAAGCTGTGAAATCAGCAGGGACAGTGACCCAGTGACCCTGACTGCCTCGTCTCATGAGTACATCATAGTCCATCTGTGTCTCATGAGTCCATCGTGAGCTTCCTCTGGGTGTGAGCGTGTTTCAGCTCTCTCCCTCTCTCCAGCCCAATTTGACGAGCTGAGAGATGGCTGGCAACATGAAACGGCAGAAGCCAAACACCACGGATGGGACTGGAATTCGTGCTTACATCGACGCCTGAACCAACCACAAGGTGGTCAATGTACTCATGAAGTGGCAAATGAATGGATGAATCATGATGAAGTATGATGAAGTGTCCTTTGACCATCAAGGACTTGATTCATTGACCATCGTGTTTGCTCTCCAAACGTCCATGACCCACCGTCCTGGAGTAGTGCCAAGTCAGCTTCCAGCACTCGCAACCGCCGGGCAGCCGCGTCACCTGGGCACATCAGTTCTCAAGGGTTGAGCACATGAGTCCCTGGGCAAATACATGCTCTTCTTTTTGCAAAGTCTTATATAATTAACTAGTAAACCCTACCAATTGAATTGGACATCCTCTTCATATGGGAGGGTAGATTCATCAAGAGTCTGCCTTGATGGGTTGGGTTTGTCAAGCACAAGAACCTTCCGCAAACCATGAGTCTACACTTCATCCACTTCATCCACTTCATCCACTTCATCCACTTCACCCTACACACGGGTGGCTCGGAGCGGGCTCTGGAGGAGGTGGACCACTGGATGGATGTCCTTCACAAAATATTCAGTGCAAACGCTCTGTTTTCGAAGAGCCCCAAGCCTCGGATTGATGATGTGCTTCGCTCATTCTGCTGGACGGAGTAACCGTTGGACCGTTGTGCTCCGGTTGGCCATTGAAAAAGGGGAATATGATTTACAGTAGCTGATATCGCGGGGGCCGACCAAGATGAAGACGATGTTTATGTGACTGCAACACAGTTCCAAGTTTGTTCGTCACCGTGAGGATGGGAATCCATCGAAGTCGTGTTGAGCCATGGGCGCCATGGGCGTGGATCTGATGAAAAGGCTTGGGAAACTCTAAGCCACCCATGAGCCGAGCCGTAGAAGCATTGGAGGAAACACCCTGAAGAGGATGGATGAAGGGACACTGGAAGTCAGATTGTAGTGATGACGTCATTGGGGGGGTTCAAAGTATCGGCAGGAATGTCATCGCACATGAGCGTTGTTCAAAACCTGTCTTTGAAGCGCAGTATCGTAAGGAGGTGCTTACGCACACGCTTGCGCTTTGCTTACGCGACTCGCGTTTCAGCTTACGCGCCATGCAGGGGACATGAAGCGCTTACGCGGAGCTTACGCAAACAGATACGGCCAAACTTTCTCCACCACACCACAACATGAGCTTACGCACTTGGTGTTTTACATCTTTTTGCTTGGCGTCAACATCAAAGTCAAGCTTACGCACTTTGCTTAGGCAAATGCTACAGCCAAAAAAATGCTTACGCAACCTTACGCAATTCAGGTTTTTGCTTACGCACAGTCTCCTTATGAGCATGTCCTTTCTAAATATGAACACCTAGGTTTTGAACGATGCTCACATGGAGGTCATGCGCGCCCGATCTCCCAGAACTGGAGGAACACCAGACTTTAACATTGCAAGCTCTTGGATTTGAGAAGGAACTGGTGAAAACATGTTCCCCACCCTAGGAATCCTTGGACCTTCCATAACAGGGAACAGATCCGCCCTAGGGGTCTGGGCCTTCAAAACCCGTTGCATTTGAGGGTCTTGATTTTAGGGCAGAAGGGGATTCACCCATGGGGAAAATCCAATCTCCAGACCGGCAAAACCAGATTTATCAATGTTCACCCACCGCCCACATCTCTCAAGACACTTCCTCTTTTCGCCCTTAGATGAATCGCAATTCATTATCAAAGATATTTAAAGATCAATCTTCTGCCAGCCAAACATCGCAGAACCTATTGCTTCCAATGTCCATCCACCCATCCTTAAGAGTCTCATCCCAAGTGGCGTTCGGCCTCCGCTCGCTCCACCTGCCGCTGCAGCTCCTCCTCCCGCCGCTGTTGCCGCTGCTGACGCTCCTCGCGCTCGTCCAGGATGAAGCTCAAACCACTCAGCTCAGGCGCACGCGGCGGACTCGGCGAGGCGAGGCCTGGCGGACTCGCCCCGCGGCACTCGGCACTCGGCGTGACTGAGTACACACCCCAGTTCAAGGTCGGGATATGTCGGGGGTGGAAGAGGGCAGCAAACAATGTACAGCAAGCACTGTGAGGGGGTGGTGAGATTGTTTTGGTTTCATTTTTAGGTTGGTGAGTTCTGGGACATACCGTATACCATCCTGTCTGGGTCACCTGGCTGGACTACCCTACTATAGGGCCTACACAATCTGAGATGTCCAGTGGACACCCATTGGAACCCAACCGGCTTCGGACTCCGAACAACGCAGTCGCTGGACTCCAGAAGGGCTTTGGGGTTCGGGGGGGAGGTCCTGCTCCCTGTTTCACAGGGAATGCAATGGATCGCCTCATCTGAGCCGGAAAAGGGCTCCGAGAAACGCTTCGCGGGTTCTTCGCTCGTTCCGTCGGAAGCCCTCCAGGTCTCGCCTGCC